TGATTTATTGGGTTTGTGTTAAAATGCTAAAGAGGCAAAAACTAAAAATATTTGAGTGCTGAACAACGTGCATGTCGAAAATAATATTAATTACAAACAACTAAAAACTAAAGTTCTACACACTAATTAATGTGTTCAGTCAACAATCTAACTCTTAAAGAAATAATAATCTTAGATAGCTGAAAAATTTAGGGAAGAGAACTAGTTAGTAGTTCCAATGTGAGTTGAACCCCTAGAAAACATGGGAATAAAGATGTGACTTTGAAAAGTAGTATAGATATTAGATAATGCTTAAATTGATATTGTTAAAAAATAATAAAATAATAAATTAATTCCTAAATTATATGCCCATTAATCTTTAAAATCTTAAACTCATTTTTTATATAATATTTTTTTAACTTTTAAAAATAATACAATTTAATTTTTATGATTAATAAAAGTCAACTTAGACATTTAGTTGACTAAAAACCGATAAAAAAACAACTTCCAAAATTATTGCTTATAATTTTTTGATTCTTCACATTATTTTTTTGTAATTTTTTATAATTTTAAAGGTATTTTTTGATCAAGTAACAGTTAAAATTAATTTTTAATAACAATAAAAGTTAAATTGAATTATTTTAAAAATTTAAAAAAATATTGCATAAAAGAAATGTTTATATTTACAGACACTCTTATATTTATAATTTAAAAATTAATTTACTCTTTTATTTAATAAAAAATACATCAATTTTTGAATAGTTGGATGTTTAAAATGTAAAATATTTTTAGTTTTTCAAGGTATAATTATTATTTTTTTTAAATATTTCTATTGACAATGACTTTATATTTATTATAGATGTTTAATAAGAGTAAATATAAAAAAATAAAATTAATTAAAAAATAAGTATTTATTTTATTAAAGTTAAAATTTAATTAAAAATATATTATATTTTTAAACTATTTAAAAGGCAGATGTATGTGAGCAAAGAGCCACGTCTAATTGTCACGGCTTTGAATGTGGAGGCAGCCATTCGAGAGTTGAAAACGCAGGCATGTACAGTGTTTTTTTAAATAAAATAAATAACAATAAAGAGCACAATAATTATTAATAAATTTGTGAAGTAAGTAAACGGGGAAGCCAAGCGCAGAGCATCAAAACGATTCTTAAAAAAGCCAACACAAGGGGCAAAATAGACTGTTGCTACGTCATCTGCATTCACTTTCAGGAAGCTTCAATCTATCGGAATCGATTTGCGTGCTCATAGAATTTGGGCCGTTCAATTTGTTAATCTGAACGATCCAAATTATTTTAATTTTAATTTTATAAAAATAAAATTAAAAAGTTTTTTTATAAATACATGCATTAACAATCTCCATGATATTAATTAAATTTAAATAATTTAAATTAATATTATTATTTTTATAAATTAATTATCTAAATATATTTTAAACAGTTCAAATTTAATATTAAATTTTTATCTGTAAAGTTTACATTTAAAACTTTTATTTTTATTCTACATTTATTAAATTAAAAAATTATTAAAAAATTTAATATTAAATCTGTTTTATTCAAAATATATCTAGATAGACAGTTTATAAAAATTATAATATTAAATTGAAACATTTAGAGTTTTAAATTAAATTAGTATTGTTCAGATTGATGATAAATATATTTATAAAAAAATTATAAATTTTATTTTTATAAAATTAAAATTAAAATTAAAATTAAAAAAATTTAAATTATCTAAATTAAAAAATTTAAATGATTCAAATTCTTTCTTGTGATGAGCACGTCGGTGTGACATCGGACTCCAATCAACTTGGCTGCCAACTTGTATTAAGTTATTCCAAATATGAAATATATAATTTGCCCCCGCCCTCTCTTCTTCTTTGTCCAGGGTCCTTCCTGCTCGATACAGCTGATTTTCTTTTAAATATTTTACACCGTACATGTGTAAAATTATTGATATTCTGATGTACGAGACTCACAATTCTCAGTACCTTACCTTCAATTTTCAACATGGCAGACAATGTAGCAGTGGAGTGAAAAATCGAGGTAGAGATTAGAGCTGTACAAAAATTTTTAATTTTATTTAATTCAATCTAATTTGAGATAATTTTATCCTGTCTAATTTTTATAAATATTGATCTTTTAAGATTAAAAAAATTTAAAAGTTAGATTATTTTTTCGGGTTAGACTAGACAGGAGATTAGGAATCTGAATCACTTAATCCAGTCCAATCTTATTAATTTATCTAATATAATTGTAATTAATTTATTTTTGATAAATACTTTGAGTGTAATTTACGCTAAGAAAATGATTGCATGAAGATTTATTGAATTTGTTTTTAAATTATTATTGTAATGTAATGTTGTTGAAGTTTGTTGAGTGTTATTTTTGTTAAAATTATAAATTTAAATCATTTAAATTGTAATTGAAATATTTTTTTGTTGAAAATTTTTTTGAATTTATTATGATTATAAGTGATCTTATTATGTTAATTGAGTTTATTAGGTTGAAATGAATTATTTCCTCTCGTAAAGAAAAATGTCAAAAAAAATTAAATGAGCATTAAACTAATAGGGCTAGTCTCTCAATCCTACAGGCTAAATTTGATCTTGTTAATTTTTAAATTATTACTGGATAAGATTGAATTATAAGTTACCAATTTAATTTTTTTCATAAAAAAATAAACTTTAGATTAGATTAAAATTCGTTCAGTTTTTTATATAGCCTTAGTAGAGACATACCCTTGCAGCGTGCCAATAACGCATTGCCTCCTTAAGCTATCCGAGATATTTCTGCTATCCCCTTTGTCTTGCAACGAGCTAGATTTTTACGAGATCAGCCCACGTGAGAGAAAACAACCACTTACTTGTTTCCTTTTGAAAAATAGTCTGCAAGAAATTAAAGTGACTATTACTATTATACAATGACTGCCATTTAGAGAATTGTTATGGGTCACGAACGTAAATGCACAGGATCAAGTTCAAGAATTTTTCTCGAATTCATCACAAAAATGTTAAAATACAAAATCATGTGATGTTAAAGAGTGAATTACTAGTATTAATATGAAAATGAATAAATAGGAAAAAAATTAATTTGGGTATAAAAAGATACGAGTAATCAACGAATTTAGTGGTAATATAGTATGCGTAGAAAGAGAGAGGAGGAGGGGTGGATGGTGGATGGTGGATGGGCACCAAGAAGCTTGGAATTTGGGGTGGCAGCCAAAGATGAAAGAAAGAGAGCGGTGGTGAAATCCGCGTCACACCCTGGCTTTCTCCATTTCGTCCTCCTTCGAATAATTTTGTTGGCCACCCTCTTTTTTCCTTATTCCATTTCTGCCCACGTGTCATTCCCTTATTTCCCTCTCCCTCCTTTCTATTCTCCCCCCATCCCCTCCCCCGAATAATATTGCCACGATTCGAACGATCTGTGCAAGAGTACAATAAACTAAGTTAAATAGTAAGAAGTCAGTGATATTTTGTCGTGTTTGAAAATATTTTCACAATTCAATAATATCACAGCAAATATTTGCATACAAGTGTGCGTGTGAGTCCATGTATTTAAAGTTGATAATTTATAAATTATAAATACTATTATAGCTCGTTGTAATTTTTATATATGCCAGTCATTATATTGATACACTATCTGATTATTGAGGATAGTATTATTACTATTACTATAAAATAGGATCTTGAACAAATATTATAGGGAGAAGACCAAAGGTGGAGGTGTCGTGATTTGAAAGAGGGACAGGAAGCAAGGGAATCGAGGAGAGGGGCCGGGGGCATGGAAAGTGGGGAGTGCCGGAGGTGAGACTAAGGAAGACGTCGAGGAGAGTAGTGGGAGGTGAGGTGGAATGGGGTCCACTCCACGCAGAAGAAGGTGGAGAAGGTTCGGTGGGGCCCGCGTGAAATGCGGCGAGACGCAGCATGACGAACCAGAAACAAAAGGCATTCTGCACTTGCAATTTGCGTCCTCCATTCAATATCTCAATATCTCAATCAATGCGCCCCCTTTGCTTTGTTTTCCTCATCGGATTATCCGCCACTCCCAAAATATTTGTAATGCTTTTGCCGTGCGATGTGAGGTGGCTCCCACTCCCTCCCTCATTCCACCATACACACATCTGCACAACACCCGCATCTCCGCAACTTTCAACTCTTCCCATCTAGTGGAGCCAAAGTTGGAGAACTAATCACAACGGAGCCACCTAAAAAAACACAATAATCTCTACTCATGTACTTCTTTATCTATATATATTCGAGATTTAATAATTTGGATATGGTGGAGCATAGCGCAAGAGCGACACATGATTTGGGTAAAGGTAGAAACAAACAAAAACTGGAGGAGTGGAGGGTGAGGTAAGAATCGTGTACTGTTTGGGCCAAGAGAAAACGCCCGAGACAATTTCTCCTCCTTCAATGTATAATCCCACCGCTAGCTACTTCCAAAAATTGCCTGAGCTCACTGTCTCTCTCCCTTCTCCTTACTCGGCATCCTTCTCTTCCATGCAATGAGACACAGACAAGAGAACGAAACAAAGCCGGCACGTAGTTTCTGCTCTCCACCTCTGCCAGAGTACCTGCATGCAGAGTGGGATCCACGTCGACCACCGGTAGCAACCTTATCAACGTCCCTGTAGACCTGGCTGCCTGTTCAAGCTCAACTTCCATTCCAACTTCCTAGCTAGCTACCTGACACTGTCCCGGTCCTCCACAACCCTTGGGTCCAACTTGAATATCTCGTGTGCCCAGAGCTTACCATAATCTTCAGTTTCCATACGTGCAATTATTGAAAGGGTGCTCTCGGTGGATTATATTGCCATTTTTTTTTCCCTTATCCGCGGGAGCTGGCCCCGCATCGCATACAAAGCTTGATGTACAATTGTAATCTTGAATTTTATTTCTTGATGCTAATTTCTAATATAATTCGCGAGTGTTCTGGTAAGAGTGTGAAACTAGCAATGACAAGTACAGAATACCACATAAGATTTGGAAGGAAACCAAACTGAGATATTTAATTAGAATTATTATTATTATTATTATTCTTCACGTCGCACGGTCATAGCTCATAGGCTTATAGATACAAGGGGGCAAAACAAGACAAAAACAAAACAAAACGAAAGAGAGGTTAAAGAATCACCGACCAACCCTCACATTTCTCCGTGTCTGCTCTATGGACACTAACACAGAAATCCGGTGTCGGTGGCTCTTACAAAATCTCGCCGGTTTGCAATTCCGGGAAAAATCCTCTTCTCCATGAAAATAAAATTAATAAGAAAACTTAAAGAAGAAGAAATAAGGAGTAAAAGAGGGATGTTGCGCCAGACTACCCGACCGTATGACCTTCCGATTCACTAAAACATGAACCTCTTCGGAGATCGACAGAGAGGAGAGACCTCTCACGCGAAAAAATTGAGAAGTTTGGGCTCTCCGGCGTGTGCGTAGTAAACTCCAGGTCCACTCTCCAAGCACGCCATCGTCGTCACGGATTCTTCAGAGTTCATCGACGGGGTACCCGGCCGACCGATTTCCGGTCTGCAGCTGTAGCCTGACCCTTTCTGCAGGAAAGTAGGCATCAGCCGGAGATCAAGATCAGCCGTTTGAGGCTGCTTGGATTCATCTGATGGCTTGCGTTTGCAGGAAGAGAACTTGTTAGATCGCGAATTAGTGAACCGGGAACTCAGGTTCGGATCCCTGATGCTCCACATGTCGGTGCACGCAACTTCCGCCTCGGATGCCTCGTCTGCAGCCAGAGTAGGAGCAGCCAAGCCTAGAAGCTCGGGAATGGGTCTTAACGTACCACCACGCAGCACCGTCTCAACGGCAGCCTGGCACACGTGCCAGTTTCCTGTCCACAAAAGCCCGACCGCTCCGTTCACCGGATTCACCGTTCGCCCACATGCTTCGAACAACAAGGACTGAAACAGAGCTGCACAAAGCAGGCGATAATATGAATAATATATTGACAATGAATAGTAATCTCGTCATGCCAGTTACCAAAGGCAGAGGAGTTGAAAATTACCGGGTCTTCGATTCTCAGGAACGTTGGAGATGAAGGACATGAGACCAGCGCGGCCAAAGAACTTGGCTACGAAGACAGTGGCATGTCCTTGGGCTTCGGGCGTATCGATCCACTGCAAGCAAGGCCGCAGAATACAAGACTCACTGCAACCTTTTCGAAGCACTCGGCAACCGTTGCAACTCATACCTCTTGGAAACAGGACACACACACACACTCTCTCTCTCTCCCCCCCCCCCTCTATCAAAGTCAAAATCCTCGAAACAGAGGGAATCGTCCTCACATGAACACAACAATAACCGAAGAGGATTGAAGAAGCACACCGATATACCTTGGCACTCGCAGTGAATGGGGAATTGAGGAAGCAAGAGACTGGAGACAGAGAATGCAAATCCTGCAGCAGGGGGGCGTATATAAAGCGGAGGAGGATGACGAACGGGGAGGTGGGGTTGGTTATTTAACTATGGTCAGGTTAGTTTGACTATGGTCACTGCTCCTTTTCTGTGTTTGTGTGGAAGGGTGAGATTCCAAGTTCTTGGGCGTCAGCGGCTCCGTGTTTCCGCGGATGGATGTTCCTCCGCCGTTGGATTCATTTCTTTTTTCCTCTATCGGGGACATTGTCTTTCTTTTTCCCTTTCCTTTTCATGTATTTTCATGTCTTATTATTCCATTTCCACGTTGCTTTCGCTTCTCCTCTTAAAAAATATACGTGGCTATTTTCTAAACGGCTGTGCTTTGTATGGCAGGTGGAAAGTAAAATAGATTGGAATTACCGAACAAGGCTTGTAATTAAGCCCGCGGGGACATGGAGGGGTTGAAAAAGGAGTTATTAATTATCAATAATCTGAATATTAATAATAATGTTGGAGCACTGAGTGGAAGGCTAGAGTTTTAGTGATAAAACGGATGCACTAATGATTGATGGATTGGCTCAAGATTAGGGAACACAAAGTACGATTAGCGTGGGAGTTGGGACGCTTAAATTACATAAAAGGTCAACTTAACTTGGGTTTCTCTTTCTCCATACGTATTTTATTATATTCTTGGTTGGGGCTTTCACTCCCCCACGCGCATCAAACCTCATCGGCTCATCCCTACGTTTTCACTTTCACCACAAGCCGCGCGAGAGCTAGGCTCTTCAGGTAAAAAAAAAAAAAAAAAAAACAAAGAAAAAGAGGACTGCGGTCAACTTCTTCCACAGTTAAGTTTGCTAGCCGAAGACCAAGACTATGCTCACCTATAGTAATGATTATTGGTGGTGTTATTATACGAACCTCAATGAAGTCCAATATCTTACGTAAGAGGATGGGACTATGTTGCCGTTCGGTTTTTCAAGTCATTCCTTTTTTTTTTTTTGGTTATAATAAAGAGATGAGCGAGCAGGGACAGGATATTAATAAGAAAACTTCCAACTCTAAATCTGGTTGTTTGAAATTCAGTATGTTAATAACATAGAATGCATACAACATATGTCTGGAGTACTATTTTTTAAATTAAAAATAAAATGAAACAGAAACGGCGAGACCAACTGTCACCAAAGAAAAAGGGGAAGAAATTCAGAAACAGATACAAAAAGCAAAATGAGAGAAAAGCACTAGCAGGACAGAAAAGGAGGATAATAATATACTCAACAAATGAATCATCGGCAAGCACACCTGTCAATGGAAGGATCCAATTAATATGGTTTTGTTGGCGCTGAGATTTCACGCTACGCCAGTCGCCAGACATCAGGGTGGCTTTGCCTACCCACAAATTAACCTGACTGACTTTAAATGATTGTGAGTTCTCGAGGTGCAGTTTTGTTCTTAATTTTGTTGTTGCAGTTTCTCAAAGCTGTAACAACAAAATACTATTGGAAGTAAATTGGAAAATTAAGAATTCTAAAGAGGGGATAAAATGGGAATTAAGACGGGTGCTGGTCTTCGCCCTTCTGCACAGAAGCTTAAGCTACATGAAGCTAAATGTAAATCAATGTTGTCAGGAAATTTAAGAAGTACTCTTCTGATATTGTTTATAGGTTAGAGAAATAGAATATTTATTTTGATAACTCAATTATTATTATATTCATTTTTATTCTTTTACACTTATTAAATGAAAAAAAAGTTATTCAGTAATCAAATTGATTTTATTTTTAAAATATGTATACTTAATAAAATTAAATTTAAAAACCTGTTATTAATTTTTTAAATAAAGTTAATTAAGTTTAAGACTTTTCTTGATTTCAATAAAATATGTTATAAATAATTTGTAAATAGAATTAAAAAAATTGAGTGAAAAAAATCGAGTAAAGGGCAATGGGATCAAAAGTTGTGTTGATTGGTAAGCGAATGGCTGATTCTTGAGGAGAGGTCTCTCCTCGATTTCTCTATTTATGAATGGGTTTGTCTTGCTTGTGATCTCCACTATCATTAGGGACCGAAACAAATTCTCGATTGGAGGTGCCATTTTTCCCATTCATGCGTCTTGATTGATTATATCAGGAGTGAAGAATATCCACAGTTATTATTACACATAATAACTTCAAGGCTTTTCAATTTGTGCCGACTTGAGCCACAAAATTACAATTTCAGTACAAACGAGTTTAAAATGAAAAATTTACCAAAAAAATAAGTTTAAACAAAAAAGGGAGGGAAAATCTTACAACGAAACTGCACTTGCATTCAGTGAGACATGAGAAGCCCCAGGGCTTAAATAGTGCTACATGAGCTTGTGGCATGAATTAAATTAAAAATCCACCATTCTAGTTATTAGCTAGTACTTCCTTTAATTTTATTTATAAATCACTCAGCATATTTTATTAAAATTTAAAAAAATTTAAATTTTATTAATTTTATCTTAAAATTTAATAAATTTTACCTCTATCATATAATAAAGACAAAAAGAATTATTTTTAATGATTTTTAATATGAAAAATGAAGTATTTTAGAAATAAAATTAAAATTAACTTTTTTTCCTCCACCCTATAAGTAGGAATAGAGGAGCAGTAGTAATGGGCTAAACATATCAGCTTCCTCGTATAAAAGCAGCAAACCATGCACAAGGGCTTGATCCCAATCCATCATCCTAATTATCGCAAATTATCCACCCACAAATCCCCATGGGTATTTCTGTTCGATACTCACAATCGTTAAAAATTTTAAGGTAAACTGGAGTTCATTCCGGTGTGTTACACAGACTGTGCAAAATTCAAATGATTCAGTTTTCTCTAATCTCTTACTTTTTTTTTTTGGCGCGGTAATACTTTACATCTTTAGAAAAAATGTGGCATGTTAACATTATAACATGCATGCAAAAAGAAAAAAAAAAGAAAAACTTATCAAAAAATGTGGCATGTTAACATTATAACATGCATGCAAAAAGAAAAAAAAAAAGAAAAACTTATCCATGAAATCAAGTTGTGATCAATTTATTATGTACTCCCTCTCGTCCAAAATATAAGTTGTTTTTTTAAAAAATTTGCATACCGATAAAGTACTCATTGTTTTAAAATAAGTTGATTTTTCTTTTTATCCCTAATCCCAATTCCAATTACTAATATATTCTATAATGAGTGAGATATATTTATACAAATATATGGGTTAATAAATATCAAGGGTAAAATAAAAAAAAAGTACATGTATTACATTGTCATATTTTGAACCAAAATTAATTGAAAGAAAATGCTCATTTTTTAAACCAAAGCACACGGGGGACTATTCACTTTGTACAACCGTTAATATTTCAAAATCACATATTATTTAGTCATTATTAGTTATTATAAATGCAAGTAAATGATCAATCACACAAATAAACGGGGGAAAAAAAACAAAGACCCACATGGGGTTATGTCAAGTGATAAAGGTATAATAATCCGATCGATCTGGGTTTTAATTTAAGGTTTATGATGAATATATGAAAAAAAGGTTAGGGTTAGAGTTTTGCTTTTTAATAAAATAATAACAGGAAGGATTCGAAAATACTAGTTTTTTTTTTTTTTACCAACATTCGAAAATGCTAGTTCAGTAAACTTAAATTTATTTATAAAGCATAAAATATAAAAAATTATGTTTTTAAACAGTAGGCAATATAAAATTATGTACCAATATACTTTTAAAATTAACACACAAGTTTATACTTTACATCAATTTAATTTTTTATTAATTAAACTGAATACCCATACAGCTTGTTTGGTATACGTGGAATTATGTTGCAGGTGTATAATAAATTGAAGAGTAACCGCTGATTTAAAAAAAAAAAAAATCGAAGACTAACTGACACTGTTCTTTTTTTTTTAAAAAAAAAAAGAACTACAGATATAAATATAAATAATAGGGATATAAATTTATCGTACAATAAAATATGTTTTGACACGTGACGCAGTGGACCAGGGAGCTTGACGATGTCGCTATCATGGAGGACGTGGCAAGCTTATCCTTCGCTCAGCAACTCTCTGCGGTCACCGTCCCACTTGCATTCTAACCTTGAGGCCAAGTTGGAACTAAATTATTATTATTATTTTGGTACAATTTGAACGGTTCATTCTTAAATTAGCCTTGAATATTAAAATAAAATTAATAGTTTCAAATAGAAACACATTTTCTTAATCATTACAATTACTACAAAGTCTACTATCATCATCATATGCAATCAAAACATGTTAAAACAGATGTTCCGCTTTGCCTTGTCTACTCTAAAGGTAGGTTAACCTAGCCCTAAGATAAGCTTGCTGATTTAATTCCTACGCCTTTGATTTAATTTGAGTTCTGAAGCCAGGCCTCTCATACAAATACTTCTATATATGTGAGAGTTTAGGTAAATTGCCTTCCAAAATTCTAGAGGAGGCAAACAAGGACAATAAGTAAAAAAAAAAACATTTTTAAAAATACTAAAAAAAGTCTTGGTAATGGATTTTTAGTTTCACCGATGGTAAAATTTGAGCTCCGATTTTTTAAAACTCAAAATTTGAATTCACAATTATATATCAAGTATGACAAATGTTTATTAGTTAGATTAAGCTTTGTTTGGGAACAAATCTACAAGACACTAGTATGTTTCAGCATGCGCAAACGAAAAGAACAAAAAATCAAAATCATGGTGATTGTTGAAAATGCTGGCAATATCCTCAAGATTCCGATCTGCGGGCCCTCTTCTATTTACATTCGTTTGGATCAGCTTAGCTTGACCCCAATTTCTACTCAAAAAATCACGGTACTCATCACGATGGTGAGGTCCATATGTCCCTTTGCGATAATGCCTACTTTCTTCTTGTTCGTCGTTCTTCTCCTTCAAATTCATTTGGCATCTCATCAAGTATACAGAACTTCCTGCTTTATCACTATGTCGCATCAAAACCAGGGCAATTCAATACAGTGATGTTGATGTGGGTTAAATATTACAAATTTTTACACCAGCACAGTTGTCTAAGTATATAGTCGGGTATTTAAAGTGACATTTAAACCCGAGTCGCTGAATCTAAAAAGCTAAATTGAGGAAAAAGATTAAGTGAAATAAGGGGAGAAAAAAAAACACACACACACAAAGAAAGAAAGAAACTGTACGTAACAGAGTTTGGATGAGTGCATCAGAATGGTCCCGGGCGAGCAATAGAGAAGAAAAAAACAATCACAGTCGGTCGCTCTAGTCCATGATTGTCAAAACTTTCACTCTCAGCTGAATCTGAAAGCGAAAGGGCACCCTCGCTGAAGGTAACCCTCAGTGAAAAACACATAATATAAATGAATTTCCTGAGAGCACATCAAATAGGAGATACTTGACTAGATTCAGCAATGGCAAAAACAGTGGTGGCCATAGACTTGAGGAGGAAGCCATGGGAACAGAAGCTTCCTCTTCACAACCGGTGGCACCCAGATATACCAGCAGTTGCAGAGGTTAAAAGTGGCGAACTTTTCAGAGTAGAGATGGTGGATTTTAGTGGAGGTGGTATTACCAACAAGGAAACTGCCGATGACATCAAGTACGCTGATCCCTCCATTGTGAGTTATTGCTAACTTCCTGCTTGATTGTCATAAAATATCATTTCTATCTATTCATATTTGATGCTCGTTTTGGTTTGAACTTGAGCGGCTATCTCTACGCAACACTTCGATGGATTTGGTTCGCTAGATTTTAAATACACACAAAGCTCAACCTAATCCACACTGAAAACATCTCGCTGTGATGAGTATATGTTGACAAAAATAATGTCAATGAAGTAGCCTTACAAAACCCTCTATGGCACAACCATCTCCTGATAAAGCATCCACATGCAAGTCTTTTAAGTCTGCTTACTCCAGTCATCGTCGTAACTTGTAAAACCTCTATCAGAGAACCATCTCCTGATGAAGCATGACTGCACGCCCAGAGATTGCCCATTGATCAAAAAAGTGGAGAGGAAAACAACGCTTTCTTATCTTGTAAATGCTCAAATATAAAAAAAGAGATGCCATCACTTCGAGATGGAAATAATAGATAATCATGAAAAATATAAAACTAATCAAAAGGGCCAAAACGTGGCCTAGGACCATTAGAGCTAGTTAGTCCAACTTGTGGTCCACCATTGGAAAAACGAGCTCCTTCCTTAGCCTGACGCTGACATTTGAATAAAGATATCTACGACATCATCAAAGTTCGAATTCATCTGCACAGTCCATGGCACCACCAACTCCAAGATTGGTAGTACCCATAGACCTAAACAAGAGGCCTTGGGAACAAAAGCTTCCTCTCCATAACCGATGGCACCCTCACATACCCCCTGTTACAGATATTGTTACCGGTGAAGTCTTTAGAGTAGAGATGATAGACTGGACTGGAGGTGCTGTTAAAGATGACCATTCAGCACTAGACATAAAACTTATAGACCTCTCTACTGTGAGTTCAAGTATCATCACTTTTCATCAACTGAATTCTGAATTCTAGCTTTCGTACAAAGGTAGAAGAATCCAGTCTCGTCCTGAAAATTGGACTCGATTGTAAGAGATAAATAGTTGAACACTAAGTCACTAATTATTTCCAAACGTTCTGGGTCGCAGAATTAGATGATTTCGAATGAGTAACCTTATTGTCAATGATGCAGGTCCATTATCTAAGCGGGCCTATCAGAATTCTGGATGAGGATGGGACCCCAGCGAAGCCGGGAGATCTTCTTGCAGTTGAAATATGCAACTTGGGTCCTCTACCCGGAGATGAATGGGGTTATACAGCGATATTTGACAGAGAAAATGGAGGCGGTTTCTTGACAGATCATTTTCCTTGCGCATCGAAGGCTATATGGTACTTTGAAGGGATATACGCCCATTCACCTCAGATCCCAGGTGAATCTATTACTCGATTCATTTTCTGCTAACGTACAATACAGCTTAAAGATGGGCACGAATCCGTTAGCTGTTCACATTTTGCTAATCACTTAACCACCGATAATGGACAGGTGTCAGATTTCCTGGTTTAACTCACCCAGGGATAATTGGAACCGCACCTTCAATGGAACTCCTCAAAATTTGGAACGAAAGGGAGAGAGACGTCCAAACGAATGGGCTCCAATCATTCAAACTCTGTGAGGTTTTGCATGCCCGACCTTTGGCAAACTTACCATCGACAGAAGGCTGTCACCTTGGAAAGGTATTGCTGCATTACAATATTCAAATCTACATCTCTTGATAAATTATATTTTAGCAGCTCCACGACTTTAAATTCATAATTTGCAAGCATTACAGATTTTACAATATTCAAACTAGACCTCCCCCACCCCCCCCGGGGGGGTGTTTCTGTTTAGTGCGATGCAGTATGGCACACTATTCTCTCTTTTAGCCAGTCCTACCTCAACCATTTCAGACTTTAATCTTAGGCCCCTATGCAAGGCTTTACCAACTTAACTAATGCTCGAGTGACTCATATACTCAACACTGTATAATATTCAGCTTGGAATTGAAGTTTTCAAGAATTCAGTAAATTTATACACGTACTTGTCAAGAATACTGCTTTCTTCTTGCAGATCCAAAGGGGCACTCCTGATTGGGAGAGGATTGCAAGGGAAGCCGCGAGAACAATTCCAGGGAGAGAGAATGGGGGGAATTGTGACATCAAGAATCTCAGCAGAGGTTCCAAGATATACCTTCCAATATTTGTTGAGGGAGCAAACCTCAGCACCGGCGACATGCGCTTTTCTCAGGGAGATGGCGAGGTTTCATTCTGCGGTGCAATAGAAATGAGTGGTTTTCTGGAACTAAAGTATAAGTTCCCTAACTTGTAAACAATTTCATATCAGAACTGCTAACAACTCAAAGTGAATGAATTGCATCAGGTGTGAAATCTTAAGGGGAGGAATGAAAGAGTACCTCACACCAATGGGGCCTACACCTCTTCATGTGAACCCAATATTTGAGATCGGTCCAGTGGAGCCAAGATTCTCAGAGTGGCTGGTGTTTGAGGGCATCAGTGTGGATGAAAGTGGGAGGCAACATTTCCTAGATGCCAGCGTTGCTTACAAGCGAGCAGTTCTCAATGCCATTGACTACCTATCCAAATTTGGCTACTCCAAAGAACAGGTTTTTAAGCACCACGTCTCTACCAAATTTCTCGCACGAATTGGAAGATTACTACATGAATCGTTGTATGTTGGGTGAATATCAGATGTACCTGTTGCTATCTTGCTGCCCTTGCGAAGGAAGAATATCAGGGATAGTCGATGCCCCCAATGCTGTTGCAACCCTAGCTATTCCAACTGCAATCTTTGACCAGGTACTTGAACCGCAACCTCCTCCTATTGTACGACTTGAACAGATCAACAGAGAAGCAATTATATCGTCGGAGGTTATAATTACAGGCTTTGTGTCGTTACAGGATATTCGTCCTAAAAAGAACAAGGTGCCACTTGGTCCTCGCTTGATCAGGAAACCGGATGTTTTCAAATGCACTTATGACGGGAATTTGCCCATAACGAGGAACCCTAGTGCTATGTGATAACTCAAATTTCTTGTTCAGATCTGGAAAACGGGACTCAGCCAAAACTCTTATTCCGTAGGCGCTTGCGCATAAAGTTAAATTAAAAGATATGTAAAATTGTACTAATGTTCCTGGTTATGCTGGAGAAACTCCCGAAGAACTACTAATACTTGGCATTAGCTATTGTTGAATATGCTTGAGAAGCAGTCTCGCAAAGGAGAATGTAGCATGCAGGTAGGGATTCCTCTTCTAATTAGTCACTGCTTCCTTTTTACGCTAACAGAAACGGGCTTCCGAGGAGGAATACGAATCCCCATACATAAAGCAAGAAGAAAAGCAGGTGATACAGAACCTCTTCGATAATTCAGTCTCATAGTTCTCTACATGTTCATGCCATAAGCAAATCGTGTTATGCTAACTAATTTTTGACAGAACCTGAAAAGTGCTTCGTATGTATAACCAAAACAGAACCAAATTGACTGAGATATTTCTTCTGAAAGCCACTTCCAAGATTTTCTATGCAGAAGGATCCGGTAGCTGATCGCCATCCTAACCCAAAATACTACTAAATGCCAAAGCCAAAATTTCCCCATTCTTCAACTGATTCATAGATAACAAGTTACAACGTTATCTTATGAACTCAGTAATATATTGAAAGTGTTCTATGATGCTGTAGAGACGGACATTGAATGCCAGAAGCCCAGAGCCAAAGATCCAGCTCCACGCTGAGCACCTGAAAAAAGATAGTACCAGGTAAATCAATATTAAAGAAGAGCAAAATAAAAAATTAATGAGCACAAACGCAAGGTAAGCTGCATTCAGTCTTCAGTGTCAAATACAATGAACAATGTGAACACAAACAATACAAGTAACCGCCAAAATGCTACCTTTTTCTGCTGACACGTTATTTTCAAAAAATTCACTAAAAACAACAAATTTACTGGACAAACAATCGGAGAAATCCTATGTTCCAATCCAAAAAACATTATTTTCATAGAAAAAGAATATTTATCGTTAAAAAAAATTAAAGCGTAAATGAAATATGGGAAAATTACTCTTTTCATTTTTTTTAATGTCACTTAAATCATAGGCAAAATTTACAACAAACCTCCATCTATATGCATGGGAAAATGACAGCCCAAGAAGCACTTGCCTGTCTTCCTGATTTTACACTGATCAGCTCCCTCATTTTCTCCACAGCATGTACAGAGCAAGCCCGTAGTTCAACTTCCTCTTCAGTCCCAGGATTTATTTCTCCACTGCTCTCAATAGTACTGGCAAGTTTTGGACTATACTTTAACACACCAAGCTGCCGGAGCACAGCTGGGACAATATAATCTGCCATTATAGTAATTGAGCCAATATCTTTAAATTCACCGTATCCTTTTCCCTGGAACGCGCCCCATAAATCTGCTGCAAATATCTGTGCTCTCTTATACAGGAACACTTGGCGGCCTTTGTATACAGAGTGGTCTCTAAAGCCTAAAACAATGCAAATTTTTTAGGTCAATGCTTCGGTCTTTGCAAATAGATTATAGCTGCTTCATATACAACTATATTAGAATGGCTAATTATTTCAACACTCGAGAAACGACAATTAAAGAAGAAACAGAACAAATAAATAAAAAACAATTTACCAGGAAAATGACGAGTAACAAGAGCAACAAGATTTACAGCTGATTTTCCACAAGCCTCCACAACATTAGATGCTTTCCCCTCAAAACTTCTTTCTAGTTCAAGCCCAACCTAGCCATAAAAGTTAACCAAATTGCACAATTAGCCCAGTCTTCATACTTGGAAACAAAACTATTAGTGCTAAATCAATAGAACAAAAAAACCGCAGCACAAAGAAATATGAAAGAATACAGGTTTCTACAGGTATCAGAATAAAAGAAGGATTATGCATGAAATAGACTATAGTTTGAGAAACTTAAACTCCAGTAATAGAATATGTTACCTCATGCAATAATCGAACACGTTCATCTTCCAATGGAAGGGGTCTTGGCCACCTCAAAAGTTGACGTAGTTGTGGACCTAACAGTAAGTAGTGAAGTCATCACTTTGCCACCCCAATGGAAAAACATTTTTTCATTGGAAGCATGCAAATCACCATAGTACCACACTTAAAAAAAAAAATTTAAATATGCCCTTGCCCGTATGAAATCACCTGCATTTGAATTGACATAAATATGAAAAATCAAAGACTTCACAGTTTTCTGGTAGTTTTACCAACTAGTGACTACCATGAAAGCGTACAGCACTGAACCAACAAACATAGAGACCTTTCTAAACTTTATATCTAACCATTCAATGATAATTCTAAGTTTCTTACTAGCCTTAATTTCACTTGGCGATAAAAGTAATGATAAATTGAATATATAAATTCCCAACACACTTGAGTTTTTAATGCATACTATAACATGAGACTAGATGTAACTAAGCAAGTATGCAAACATGCATACAGAAAATATCAGGTCTGAACAGGATTACCGGAGTACTTCTGCAGACGGTCAGCATCAAATGCAGATTTATCATTTTCGAGAGCAGACTTTAGCCCAGATGCCAAATGATCGTAACTCAACTCCTTATCTGTTAAGAGATGCGGAGAGAGGGTGGCAGGCAAACAGAAAGGAAAGGGAAGCCAAGTTAGAAATAAAATATAGATCAGCTGCAATTCTATAGATATTTAAGTATTTCATGTCTCTGTCAATTAGAATGCCAACCAGAGAACTGATCTCCTGAACCTCGTAGAATACGCATAACAAGTGAAACTGTTCCCTAATAGCATGTCAAGAAGTAGTTGACAGGGAATTGAACATTCTCGTTCTCCCCCGTTACAGCAACTGATCGGCGGAAGCGCTCCCTTGGAATAGTACCGTTATTCCCGTTAATTTTGAACGCACAGTTCGCCAACAAAATTTTCACAAAATCACATGCCATCTCTGGCTTTTTCACAAACCATTTTCATATCTTTAGTTAAACTCATTTTCATATCTTTAGTTCAGCTGCGTTTGCATATGTAATTAAGTATCAAACTATTTATTCTCCAACACGAATATAATTAACAAATAATAAGAAACAATAAAGGCAGAAGTCGAAACCATCACTTGAATGACCTCTGTTCTGTAAGGAAAACGCAGCCGAAACATGATGGGGGTAGCTCCAAATCTCTCAGTAAAAAATTAAAATAATAAAAAGTTCCCATCGATCAATAATTAGCGCATACCGTCGTCAAAGTAGTAGAATAAAACAGAGATTATGCCTCAATGAAGTGCCACAAATATGGCGCGTTTAAAAAGACACAGAAGGTTTACCGGGCCAGAAGCAAAAATTTAAAGCGTCCAAGACAAACAAGTATTGAACGGTGAGTGGTCCATTATCAAAATAGTGAATCCCTTCGAAATCCCACTCAACCTTCGGAATGGATGCAATACCATCCACCACCTTTTCAATGCCTGCAAAGGACAGCATCAAATATCAAAAATATAATATAATATAGGGTCATCGTATTAAAAAGGAGAAAAGCAGAAGGAGCATCATTGCTGAGGCACAGGACATAACCTGCAGAGTCAACGAGTACGTGAGAGGAGTGGCTGGCGACCCAAGCAGAAGTTGCCCTGACGTCGTCCATGGAATAGAGTATTGAAATCGACGAGCAGTGACAATGCGCCGGAGGAGAAGTGTCTGGATTAAACCCTAAAAGGCTAAAACCTTGAGGAGGGAGCGGCGGGAAGGGAAGTGGAGCAATGTAAGGGGGGATCACGAGGAGGTGGAAGTTTCGCGGGTTTGTGGCGGCCAATGAGAGGGAGCGTGCTTTTAATGCTGGTCTTAGTGGCGCACTCTGACTCTGATTCTTGAATCAGAATATCTTTTAGAGGAACTTCTAATTTACCAAAAGGAGGAGCTCGTGCGAAAGCAGAGGACAATGTGGATGGGCCACCAATGTCGCCAAGCCTGCCTTTAACACTAGCTAAAGTTTTCTGACCACATCCGCGCTCCCAGTGGGATTACGTCGGTCGTGGGGCGTTCTCTCTCGTTTTTAATCCACGTCTTGTTTGGTAGGGAATAAACCTCTTCCCAACCAAAAAAAAAAAAAATATATATATATATATATATATATCTTCTGCTTTTTTTTAAAAAAAAAAAAAGGTGATGCATTTCTAAAATTTGATTCAGACTCTGCATCTAATTGGTAGTTCGTAAAAGACCTGTTGTCTAAGTTTCCACGATACATTTCATTGGCAAGGCAATTCATCATTTGTTAGTTGTTTTGAATATGTGTTCAAAAATTATGATTCAATCACCTGTTAATAGATATATGACCTTTTTGATAAAAATGTACCATGGATGATTCTTAAAAAAAAAAAAACATTCCAAGTGTGTGATAGAACTTTTATTGAATTTAAATATATAAAAACTCCGATATAATTTTTATTCCATCAAAGAGTCAAACTTTCAATGACCCCCAAAAGTTTGGATGCAATGTTAAGAGAGAAATTCAAAACATTTGATGAATTCTTTAACAAGATGCCATGTTCGTCACATATGACACCACCATAAGTTGCTAGTCTATTATGACATATTCCATTGTCAATGTCCAACATAATCCAGTTAAATTAGGGCAAGTATCATTTAAAGCGTAAATCTCTCTTACTTGTATTAAAGTGCTTTTATCTTTCAAGTATTGATGGAAATTATCCCTTTCTATCCTTAGAATATAGATCATCATATTATTTTCATATACTCTATCGAATATGAGTTAAGAGTCATCGCCCTGAGATTCTTCTTGTATTCAGGTTTCTCACATCATTTTTTGCATTCCATGCCATCCAATCTTCCTAGAAAAAGAGAGAAAAATAGTTTGCTTAGAATACTTGGCTAATTTAAACCAAAACTTATCAGGCTTTAGCGCAATCTCAAAGAACAAGAAGGGATCCACGGAAGAAATTGCCATCGAGACGATAGGTTCTTTGGTAAATACCAGTCTTTCAATGATAACAAATTTCATTTGAAAACAATTCCAATAAACTTTCCCAATTGAACATCTAATTTTTTTTTTCACAAGTAGTTGATTATTGGTAGCATTTACAATTTTTTGTTATCTTGTAATGTGTTATGTCAATCCTGCATACTTGAAATGTAATTAGGAGCTGTATGATTTGAGTTTGAGATTTATTAAAAGTTTGTTGACTGCATTGTGAGACATGTGCTAATATATTGGATGTTTTTGAGGAAGTGGGTATTAATGTTCACTTGATCTTGCAATGTACGTGGTTCTATAAAAACAAAAAAAGAATTACATATAAGTTTCAGATAAAAAAATAAATACTATAAGATTTAGTTAATAATATTAGTTCAGTTGTTAATGGATTTTTTAACACTTAATTTCTTTATAAAATTCTCCCAAACAAAAAGCTACATTGTGGTATCTAGCCAAAAATGACATGTTATATTAAATTTGGCTTAGATACTGCAATATCAAGCTTTATTTTTCAAGACTGACAGATGCCTGTATAGGTGTATGGCGAAAGAATGCATCATGATGCATCGGGACTATAAAGATGAGGAAGTTCAAGATGATTTTGTTGGATGTTGCATTTGGATTATACGTGATATTTGGGACTTACACTGAAGATGTTTCTATAGCACATGACTGTATACCCCATTACTGCAGCTTTCCTATTCCACTGTATTCAATCCACGCCTCACAACAAGATTTCACTGAACATGATTCCATACGTGTGTGGGCATGACACGTTGCTATCATGTAATTTGGTGCTTGCAAGACCAAGGGGGCGATCATGTATACTTGAAATATTGTCAAACATTAAATATAGGCACATTTTTTAGCAGGAATTCAAATTTAATTCATCACAATTCATTTACAAGCTCTATTTTTTTGTAGCCAAGGCGAAGTATGTTGTAAAGTATCTCCCAATACTTTAAAAAAGAAAAAAAAAATGAAATACTTCAAAACAAGTCAATGAAGATGTAATATGAATTAAAGTCCCCTTAAAAATTGTAATAGCAGACGAATTCTTTCTATGTATTGTAGTGGGGTAGAAAATAGAATCGATGATGCATAGGATTGAAGCAAGGTCATGGAATAATTGGCAGTGAGCTGTCGTTCATCTGTTTAGATGTTGCTTACTGACTTTGAAAATGTGCATTGCCTTTTAATTTAGTCTGGCGACTGGTAACCAGAAGAATGAGATTTCAATGAATTGTGTTTATCTTCAGCCATAGGTCATCTAAACACTGTCATTAAACAGCGAAGGATCTCTCAAAGGGCACGTGCATCAAACATAATGAGGTTGCACTGCATCTATAGGAAGGTCCTGTATGCGGTAACATCGGTTGGGACAACTAGGTCCAAGGAAGATCATAGAAACAATTTTCAATGCAGGGTTAGTCTAGTTAATTAGATCTTTTCATATAACTAGTGGGATTTTCGGTTCCCCCTTAAAAACTAGTAGCAAAAATGGCTTATTAATGTACATAGAGTAAATATATTAACCACAATAAAAGAGAGTAAATAGATTAATTGATAATTAAATCGTAGTTGAAAAATAAAACCGGAAGGAATAAAGCAATGAAAGTAGCTTTTAAATAGTCTGAAAGAAGAGGGTTCATTCTGAGGTCAAAACCTAAAAGTGTGTGTTTAATTTTCAGTTTGTCAAAAGTTAATTTGATAAAAATTAGTTGTTGTAATGAAATTTGTGTTTAGATATATTTTTTCAAAAATCAGTTTGATAAACTGAAAGTTATTTGGATTAATAAAAATTTATGCTTTTGAAATGTAATTTTAAATATTTAATAACCAAAAAGGATATTAATTTATGATAGTTTATAATTGGACACATTTTATTGAAATTAAATATTTTTAATTTAAAAATTTAATTTCTTGACACATTTTATTACTTGAATAATTTTTGTTCTCATTTTTAAGACTTTAGTTTATTCAATTAGATTAATTTTGCTTTTTTTTTGTTTTTAATAAATTGGAGGGCCAATTTTGTAATTTATTCATTTTATTTTAAATCAAATTTTTGACATTTCAAAAGAGGTGAGTGACAGAACACCAGATGAGAGTAGAGCACAGAGAAGAGAGAACGAAAGGTGAGTTCTGAAGAATGAAATGCGGACCAGTTCGGGCAGGAGGAAAAGACAAACATGAACAAACATGAAGCCAGGGGTATCATGGTCATTTTAAATAATAGGTATCACATCTTTCCTCAATTGACTTTTTAAAAGCTACAGATATTAGCTTTCAAATTTTACTGCTCAGCTAGGTTCGAAAAGCATATTCAAAAAGTTAGTTTTACATTATAAATAATACCCAAACATTATTTAACTTTTTCAAAGTAAAAAACAACTTTTTGAATGTTAAAAGCAGCTTTCCCAAACACACTTGAAGTCTCTAATGTAACACCTGCCTCGAATGTTATCCAGAAATCACATAATTCAAATAAATTAAGTGTGGTTAAGGAGTTGATCCTCTAATTAACTTAAGAAATAAATCATTTAAAACCTAAAAAAAATTATAGGTTCTACCTATAGCGCACGGGAGCAAGCTAGATGAAAGTGAAATAAGAAGATGCGGTCATGCGGTCATAACAGCATTAAATTGTTGTCATGACAGCCCTTCTGGGCCAACTTTCGGGAGGTGCCGTTCTGTCATTCGACCTCCCATCAAAGTGATTTTAAAGCTCACACTTCACATTCAAAGGGTACTATAAGTGTACCAAATTTTAAAAAAATCCAACGGTCGGATTAAAAATTAGATATGTTAAAAGATTGGTTATTTTTGTTGCCAGCTATCATGACAGTACCTCCGGACTAACTTTTAGGGTGTACCATTTCATCATCCAACCTCTGATCGGAGCAATTTCAAAGCCCACATGTCACTTTTAAATAGTACTATTAGCATACTAAATTTTGAAAAGATCCAACGGACGGATTAAATTTTGTGCATGTTGCAACATTATCAATTATTACTGTTACGACAACACTTTTGCTATCATGATAGCTCCTTCGGATCAAATTTCAGAGTGCGCCGTTTCTCCATCCGATATCCAATCAACGTGATTCCAAAGCTCACACGAAACTTATAAAAGGTTTTACTTGTGACCCAAATTTTAAAAAAATCCAACGGTTGGATTAAGATTTGGACATCCGGATGCAAAAGTGCAGATTTTTGATAAAAACCATTTTCAAAATTGCTCAAATCTCATCTTAATGGTCACAAACTTGTGGCAACACTTTGGACACATCAAATAGGACTAAAAACACCTGATAGAACATTTAAATGGTAGAAAAATCCTTTATACCAAAATTTGACCACTCAGGTGCCATTTCCCAAAATGGACCCTAAACCCCCCAAAATGCGCAAATCACACAAGAGCGGCCAAAAACTATTCCAAATATCATATACACATATAAATACACACGCTAAATATTTTTACTTGGCTCAGAGATCTCTGTGGGGCCCACGCACCCACTCTCTCTATCCAAGGTATATGTTTGCTTATAACACACTATTTGCAATGCAACCATTTTGTATTTGCTTGTAGAATCACATATATACCAAATTAAATATTTGCTTGTAGTGAAAATTTAGTCTACTAAATAAATCCATCAAAACCACACATCATAGCCAAGTTTCCTAGCCACAAGTCTACAAGCAAACAAAAATTCATACACAAGCTATATAATCCACACGTACTCACGCATATATACATAATCATATCCTATTGACACCCTAATTCTAAATATATTACAATATATTTGCTCAAAAGAAAGGGGTTGCAGTTCTTTACAATTCACAACAACCCCTAGCTCTGCTCTTTTCCCCGTCCTCCACTGGTTCCTTCGCCTGGACATAGAATATTGAAAAGAAAGGGGTGAGATAACCACAGTCTTAATAACAAAGAAATCTACATTGATTATTACAAAGTAAGCCATAATTGAATAAACGAATAAT